TTGAAAATATATTTCAAAACACAAGATGTCTGAGCCACAGTCAATACAACTTAATGTTATAGAAAGCATAAAAATGAAATATAGCTTTTAAGAAATGTTGCAAAATCCTCTAAATTTAAATCACACAAATTCCATTAACGAGCTCACACAAAGCTAATGAGCTAATGGGTTAGCATAGCAGACTACAAGATAAGTGAGGTATTCTGTTGCAGGAATATTATTTTAACTTCTACGAATGTCTTTTCTTAACTAACAGGTTACGAAACTACAAAAAGGTCAGAAATCTATTTTAATTTTTAAAAATATTTTTATAATTCTTAATTTTTGCATGTGTAAGTAGTATTTAATAGATATCTGCCTAATTATGCAGTTTCAATTTTTACATAGGTACCCTATTAGTGGGAAGTAAAAATTCAAGGCCAGGCAATTTTGACAAACTAATTTTCTCGTCTATGCTTGTAACCAGTTTAGAATGGTTACGAAATGGATTCGGTGCATTTAATAGCATCTGAAGCTATAATTTGTTTAATTTATTTTATAAAACCAGATAACTGAGAGGAAATTCTAAAGCAATTGTACATAAATGACATAAATCTAATTTTAGTTGACTCAAAAATAGCCCTAACATGGCAAAGAGCATGTTTGTTTTTAAGATTAATATCAAGGCAGATTTTAACATTTATCACAAATTCAGAAAGGATATTTTTTACGTTTTTTTTCTAGATTCAAGGGACGAGATGATGCTAAAAAAAACATTTCAACCATGTTTGACTAAAAAGTGAGACGAAAATGGTTAAGACTTGTTCGGGATGGGCTTGAAATGTTTTTTTTTTTTTTTACAAATGCAATCCAAAAATTTGTAATTGATTTAGATATTTACATAATTGGAAACATAGGTAGGTAAAATAGGTAGCATTATGGACGGCTGGTTAAGAGAATTCTCCTTAAATAATATTTAATATTATTGTATTATTAATAGAATTAATATACTTAAATTCTAAAGTCACAAATTTCAAAACAATTACATAAATATCCCCAAAAAAAACAACATTACACATTTTTCCAATCTTTTCTTGATGGGTGAAAATCAATTTCAAGGTTTCAATTTTAGGACTATTTAAATATCAGCCTTATTATGGTACAGTTGGAAAGTGTTAACTAATAAACACAACAGTCTGAAAATTATTAGTGCTCCTTTTCAGCTACCTCTCATTAGGCAAAACAAGTCGGAAATAACTGGTTTCCAGTTTCCAGTTAAGTTTGTAAAGGTAACAAAACACAATTTTTAGGAAAACTAAATTCAGCTCATGTATTATTCTGGAAAATTATACTTCATTTAATTTGCTTTATTATGGAAATCTGACTTGATGTGATGATGAGAAATTGTTTCCAAAATTATAAGAAAAAATACAAGCCACTTTTGATGTCATTGCCTCAATTGCTACTTTATAAGAAAAGATTTTAAATAAAAAAAAGACCAGCTAAGAATTAGCACTCTCACCACCTTTAAAAGATGTTACTAGATTATTATGATTCTGATTTTTTTAATGTAAAATTTAAAGTTTTGATGCAGTTATACATGAAAAGACAAATACTTAAACCCTGCTTTGAGATGCATTTGGTAGCCAAACACCTGCTTGTAAATTTGAACAAATTAAATAACTATAAGCTCACTTTTTGCTGCACATAAGCTGCTGAGGTCCTTTTTTTCCAATGAGAATAAACTACTGTTGTTTAAATGTGAAAGATAAACATAAACAATTTAACCTGTGCCCTGAAATATCAGATCACTTTAAAAACACCATACCTACGCCAAACTAGTGGGGTAAAAAAGAAAACACGTGAGCAAAGTTAAACAAATGATTAAAAGTATTACAAATGTTTTTAGTTATGATATATATAAACTCAAGGCAGCAATCAAGAGCAACGTTTGTCAAATCCTTTACAGACTTTAAACTGCAACCTGTTTTAAACGTGGCTAGAGAAGACGTACGAGGTCTTATGGTTTAGTATATTTTGCTTCATATTGCCCAGCATCGTTTTTGTTTTTCTTGTAATCCAGTTGTCACTCAAAGAAATATGTGTTTTTTACCTGCTGCTAGTGTGTTTATTTACATTAAGGCTCTGTTTACACGACAATGATCATTTGTAACAGGATTGTTTTCCCAGTTTATGTTAACACATCTACATGACGTTTTAATTGCGATCTTTGTGCAAACTACGGTAATAGAAACTTTAAAAATCATGTAATGTCACTGCCACGCCACCAGTAGGGGCTGTTCTTTGCAACAGGTCTCTGGTTGCTAATGCTTCTCTTAAAGAGATGCCATTTTTCATGTGTACACAACAGAGACCACGCTGCGTTGAAAACATTGCACTTTGAACATGTTTTCACGTCCAGAAAAATGCAACAATTGTAATAGAAACAAGCAGCAGGGGAACAACAAAACCTTTCAATTTTCGCAAAGCAATGTCGTGTAAACAGAGCCTGAATTTTTATTCCTGCAGTGTGCAAACTGCACTGAGGTTAAACCGTTACCACTCTGCTACAAAGGGGGGAAAAAACAAAACAAAAACACTTCCACTTAAGACAGGATAAAAAAAGAAGGTCTTTATACCTGATAGATCCTGGTTAGGCCTGAAGTGTGAGCGTGGCGGCGGCTCTTGTTGTGGGATCCGAGAACAAATCTCGAGTCTCTCAGTGTGAGGATGGAGCCACTGGCTTCACTTGCATAAAAAACATTTACTGTCCACTGAGATTTAGATTCACAGTCCTGTAGAAAACAGTAACAGCGGATCCATGTGCTACCTCCCAACTCGCCATAAGTCTGTTTTTACACTCCTAATTCATTAACATATATATGAAAAAAAAATCTTAGAAAACATCTTAGTAGTTTAAATACATCTGATAATATTTGTGGATTAGTTATTGTTCAGTTTTTTTTTCTACCATGACTCTTCTGCTGTTAAGTGCGAAGTTTGGGCTCTTTGGAGGACCAAAATGGCCGCGCCGTTGTCCTTTGGTTGCCAGTTGCTCTGACGTACACCATATTGAGGATTATAAGTCCGCACCAATGGCAAGGTAATTACATCCAGGTTTGAACTCCTTTTTCTTATTCATTTAAATCCAGATCATCTGTCATCAATGATGCACTACTTCTACTGCACTCCGCTGTTCATTTTTATCGGCCTCTACTTAAACCCGTTTATTTCTGTAAAACTGAATATAATAAACTTTACCTCAGACTGAATTTGAATCCACCAAAATCATATCTCTGAATCTGAAACCTACTTGGAACTGGTAAAAGTTTCTTTAATCTGGGTTTATACTATTTTGTTTAGTTTCCAATGTATTAAATTTTTCAATGATAAATGAAATACAAATAATGTAAAGACAAAATAACTTTTTTGTGTAGAAGTGGAGGTTTACTACGCTGCGAAAAAGTGAGTGGCAAATAATGTTCAAAATTACAGGAGTAATTTCTAAAACAGTGTAAATTATATATCCAAAAGTAAAACTAAGAATTTGAGGCCTATAACGGTTCAACATTACTCTAAAAGCTACTTGTATTTCAGGAGTGCAGAAGATATAATGCATCAATGACTGCAACAAATGTTCCTGAACGGCTCCTGATTATTTCCTCCTATTAAACAATAAGATTCGCTGTCAAAAGCACAGAGGTGTACAGAAATGATAAACAAAAGAAAAAAATAAAGACATGCTTGTTTATAAAAAAAGAAATATCTGAGAAGACTGATGGAGATCTCTGTGTAAGTGGACCAGAGTGTCCCCCAGGTGGTGCTGAATGTGCAGCAGCTGTATTGCGTAGTGATGAGAGGTAATTATTGAGCTGTGTAGCTTATCTGAGACTGTTTGCTATTGTGAGTTTGTTCGGTTGTTTCACACGCTGCCAAACGGTTCAAACTAAATCTACCGGATCCTTTAAAGGTTTCACTGCCACAGTAATGAAACATCAATGTGAAATGAGTAAATATTTTACAGCTAATTTATCTAAGTCAGTGTGACTGGAGTTTCTGTTGGCCGGTTTCTTAAAAAAAAAAAATCTCATTTGAAAAAGGTAGAAAACATGCCATCTTCTGGCTCGGTGTTAGAGCAAGTGTTAAAATTGTGTTAAAAAAAAAAAAAGTGTTAAAAGCAACACAGGTTAAAATCTATATTATGATTTTTATATAGAATATATTATAAATGATAAAAAAATTATACTTTAAAACTATTATAATAAAGAAAAATTCAGAAGAATGTTAGATTTTTTCATAACTGATTTAGCATTTCAAGCCTTTGGTTAAACAAAACCAGTGTTCGAAACATTACTGAGCTCTAGTATTGCTTATTGGACGATTTAAGGATTTCAACTGCCATATTGGACAAAAACAGCTATCCAACAGCTCATAGAGCCACAGTAATTTTAGATCAAACTTAAGCTGTTTCTTAATTCACAAGAACCCGAGTATGGACTCGTGTTCTCGCCAAGTATGTTCTTGACGAGAACACAGGGAAGTATGAACTCTGTGAGAACTGGAGCACGCAGCATAATTGGTCAATTGGACAGAAGCGTACTTGTGACGTCCCTTACGTTCAAAGCTAGTCTGGAGCTTTATTTCACCTCCTGTTATTAATAGTCTCTAGATAATAAATTATGACTTATTTCCATTTAGTGGGGGAATAATAATTAATACAGTCAGATAAAAACGAATCAAATAAACATTTTGCCAAATAAAGCAAAAAATCTATGCTATGCCGAGAAAGGGCTGCTGCAGACAAGCTAACGTTAGCCCTGGCCTAGGAGGACCGCTGGTTCCTTTTTTATAAGTTACGCACTAAATCAGTAAATGGGCTGTATATGGATGCTTAAAAGTATAATGTTCTTGCCTAAAATGATCTTAAAACGTACTTAAGTAGAACAAAAAAAGGAATTACTAGGACCTGGATGATTGAGAATCTTCACCAGCGTACCTTAGTAGAACAACAACAGAAAACATTTTTTTTTTTCAACTTAATACTCTAGAGCTCATTGAGCGCTCCACTGGAAGCTGCTGCTGCTGCAGTGGTGCATGCTGGGACATTTGTCAAACTCAAGAACAGACAAGTCTGCTTTGATGCATGCACAGTAAAGAGGCAGGGGCGAAAACAGCATCCAGGGACTTTGTCCGTTCTCGGTCTTGTGTTCTTGTGAATTGGAAGGGTACTAGGACTGAGGCTGATGACGTTTCACGAGCACATGAGAACGCACAAGTACTCATTGAGAAACAGCCTTCATTTTATGTCCTTGTATAAATGAGGTCTTTGAAGGCATCGAAACAAAATCTAAGTATAATGCCTTTAAACTGAGGTTAAAGCTGCAGATATTGTTTGTAGTGTAAACGGACGAAATGTGACGGATGTCAGAAACTCCAGTCACCCCTGACATAAAACTTTCCTCATGAACAAAACTGTCACTGTGGCACTTAAACAGCGCAATTATTATTATTATTATTAACGTTAGCATTATTAACCTGATTGCTCCAGATTGTCTCAAGGCAAATAAAAAGGATTTGATCTGTTAAACTGGCACTGAGTATTTTGGCAACGTCCTCCCCCAGACTCCCCGGATGGTCTTAATGCTGCATTGTGAACCTGGATATATAAAAAGTAGAAATCTGCAACAAAAAGTTAACGGAGGCAAACGAGAGCCACTGAACTTTGTGGTGTATGAGGTTGTAGGAGTGTGTGGTGTTTCTTCATCTTTAGCTTAATCTGTTCTGTCTGGTTAGTGAGGGTAGATGCGGTTTAAAGCGGTAAGAATCTCATTCTGGACTCTGAGGTGTGCGTTGACTTCACACGGATCGGTACCCTGTCGCCTTTATACGCAACGGGATCGGACCCGCTCCCAATGCTGACTCGGCATCCTCCATTCACTGAGGTCAGTCGGGCCCTGTGGTGGAAACGGAGGTCTGAGGAGCTTCTCCGTACTGGCCTCCACCGTTACCGCTCCCACCGCCACCGGCTTCAGGCTCCTCCTGGCTCGGGGAGGCCTCGTCGTTTGGCCCTCGGCTGGAGGGGACTGAGGTGGTGGTGGTTTCGGGGGAGGCACTGTGGGCCTCCTGGGGAGCACAGCCCGGATGGTTCTTGCGGAAGTGTTGGTTGAGGATGGCCTGGAAGGGGAAGCTCTTTCCGCAGACGTGGCAGTGGAAGGGCTTGTTGCCGGTGTGCTTGCGGATGTGGTACTCCAGCTGGTCCTTCCGGGTGTATTTCTTCCCGCAAATGCGGCAGACGAACGGCGTGATTCCCATGTGGAGACGCATATGCCGGTCGAGGCTGCCTTTCTGGTTGAACGACTTGCAGCAGTAGATGCAAGTGAGCCGAGGGTTGTAGCGGAACCAGCGGTCTCCAACCTGCTCCCTCAGGTAGTCCTCATAGCCGCCCATATCAAACGCTGCCTGCTCTTCCCCCTGGGAGACAGAAACAAACATTTCTATAGCTGAAACTAGACAATCAAGAAATTTACCAAGCACTGTCCCTCGTTTTCTAAAGGCTCCCACATAGTCAAGCATACCTATTCCTAGATTTCGCACACTGCTGTGGCATCATCTGAAAATCATCTTTTCCCTCTAGCAATGCCAAAACAAGAGAAACAAGGTCCAGACGGGCCCCTCAGTAGTTTCTTCTCCCACCTCTTGGTGGGAGGAGAAAGGAGAGAGAGAGTGGCTGCTGCAGTGGGTCCTTGTGACCGGGAGTTTTGAGTGGTTGTCACTGCCTGCCATCGTCTGGAGAGCCTTGCCCGCTCTGTGTTCCCTTTAAAACATTTCAGTATGAATCGTTTCTGGCAAGGAGCACTTTCCCAGTGAATAGTGTGGAGAGACATCTCGTACACAGACATAAATATTTTTCCTTGTGTACACCTGTCTGATACATGTCTGCCTGAGTATGTGGAGGCCTTAACCTTGCTGCACGCCAGCTGGAAAAGGTCATGTTGAGGGAAACCTTGTCTGCAGGAACATACTGAACTCTCATACACAGAATTATTGTATATATATATAAATAAACACCCAGTTTGAGTTTTTTTTTTTACTTTTTATGTAGTTGAGCTGCTGTGTTTGGGACCATGCAATAACTGTTCATATGAACAAATTCGTTCCTCAATTGTTCGTACGAGTGATGTAGGGGAATATGTTCCATTACAAACTTTTTCCTATTTCTTTTCTTCTCTCAGGTATAATTTTATAAGTGATCCAGGCTTGTCGTAGGACGTAGAAAGTTGGAGAGAACGAAACTATATTTTCACTAAATGACCATATTTGATATTACTTGAAAGCAATTGTCCATTTTATCAAAGGGGAACACCGTTTTTTTTTTTTTTTTACATTGGCCCCTTTGATTTTACGTTATTACATCATGTTCTACTCACCCATATGAGTTTTGTGTCATTTGGAGCTTTTCTGAAGATACTTGGTTTTGTAATCCAAGTAACGTCTTCCTATGGGCAACGAGTTGAAGGCACAAACTAAACTGTTCATGATTTATTCTTTATGGTATGCCAGCATTCATAATATGTAGGTGAATCAATGTATTTTTTATATTTATATTTTTTTAAAACAAAGCAGAGTGTGTATGATGTCATCCGCGCGCCGGCAACATTCATTCATCCTGTATGTTGAACTGCTGCTAGTTTTACTTACATGCCTGGAAGATGTCTAGTGCTACTACCACAGATGATCTCGCTCTCGAAATGGAATTGAATGATTCAGATTAGCAAGCCGAATGAATAGAAGGGGAAGAGCGTAGCCGCCTGTGGCCCGGGCTGCCTGTCACAACTGCAGTCTGGCGCACGGATGACGTCATACATGCAACGCTTTGTTTTAAAAATATATAAATATAAAAAATATAACTGTGGATGTCTGGGGGACAGTGATTCGCCTACAGGTTATGAATGCTGGCGTACCCTAAATGATCAATTATGAACAATTTAGTTTGTGCCTTCAAATCGTTGCCCATAGAAAGACGTTACTTGGATATAACAAAACGGAATATCCTCAGAACAGCTCCACATGAAATAGAACATGATGTAATAACGTAAAATCAAGGGCCCAATGTAAAAAAAAAAACGGTGTTCCCCTTTAATATGCTGATCTGTGTCTGTTAATTAATCCTCTCTATTTAGGTTTTCATGTGTCTAAAAGTGATTGTTTTAAAAGTCCTTGGACTTTTTTTTAATTGAGCCTTTCTCCTCTAAACCCTCTAAAGTAGCAATTCTGTAGTTGAAGCTACAATGGGTAATAATTACATGCTATCCAAGGACTCAGTTTTAACCTTAATGTTTGCATTGCCTTAAGAAGTGCCATTTAGAATGAGATTGGTGCAGGTCTCCTAGTTATGGAGACAGGCTTCTTTGGCGCAACGACAGTGCAGAGCTGATAAACTCTAGATAAGACTGCAGTAAGTTAGGTCTATATAAAATCTATATCTACACAGACTAAAGAATACTATTTATTCAATCATCCATGTAAAAAAAACTCATCATCACTTGACAGGAAAGGCGATGCAGACATTGCTGAACCCATTTCGTACCATGATGGCCTCCGTATTGTTGGACGAAGAGAAGTGGTGGGGGGAGCGGTTCATGCCGCAACAGTCTGAACATTAGATGTCGTTGAAAATTACAAACTGTAACTTTAAATCTTTTTCTAATTATCCTTTTTCCAAAATTTAACCAGTAACATGCTAACTTAGCACTAAGTAATCTGAAATAGAGCTATGTGATTTATTGAATTTTTTATAAATAATGAAACCTCAGAGGCTGGGCTGTAGTTGCTGGTACATCCACTCCTGCAAGGAAAGCTGTCTGAAATGTTTTATCTCTGATCTGTTACGACTCACTAAACAAAACCTGCTGAAATGTTTACAATTCCATGCAACAGCATATAGCCCTTAAAGTTAAATTTTACTTTCACATAACAACTACAAACTTTGATTATATAACCAACTAATAGAAAGAAAATATACCTTGATTTGTTTTCAAAATACAAATCTAAGATGAGTCACCCTTTAGTCTGATACACGTAATCATAACAGGAAGCTAGCTTAGAACAGTTATCTCCTCACTCTATAAGTCATAAGAAAATAGGTTTTCAGCTAAGTCATGTTTAAAACACATTAAATCTGTTGAAGACGGACTATGTTTAGATAAGACAAAAGTATAACTTTTTGCCCTGCATGCAAAATGAAAAGTGAAGGAAAACAAATAAAAAATCAACCTGATGATAAGATATGGTAGTGGCAGTGTCATCCTGTGCGGATGCTTGTCATCAATAGCTTTCGGGAGGCGGGTCAGAGTAGATAGGTGATGCTAAAGTCAGGCAATCCTGGATGAAACCATGTAGAACGACCATAAACATTGTTTCAAAGCTGCTGTGGTTTCGATATGATCCAATTCAGAGCATATTAGAATTTATAAATGACTTTATAATTGATGTTCACAAATAAACTTCATCCAATTTAGCCATTCTCCAGTGAAATCATACTCTGAAAGACCTACAGCTATTAATGGAGAAACATACTCTTCTAGAAAAAGGGCTCTTATCCTTTTGCAGGCTACTGTGTAGAACCTAGATTTGACCTTAGTTCCAGAGGTCCAAAAGTACCTCAAGTTTCATTTTTCTTTTACATTTTGTGTTCTTACTTGTGAGCTCGGTTGCCGCAGCTCGTCTGCTCTGTTTGGAGACTCACTCTTGGCTCTCTGGCGCTCTGTGAGGACGACCACACTGCCAGTGGGACTGAACCTGAACCAGAAACAAGCATAATCAAGTTTCTCCACTCAGTCGGGTCGCACCTGGAGGTAACAGGAACTCACCGGTCGACTTCGCTGAAGCTGGAGGACGCCTGCCCACTGCGGGTTACAGGGCCTCCCTGTGGGGCCATCATCAGCGTGCTGCGCCCTGATGTGTCAATCATCATGGTGCCCTCCTCTGCGGAGGCCCCCTCCTCTTGGTTACCTCCTGCTCCGATCCAGTCCTCCGTCCTCTCTGTCTTGATCCTGACTCTGTCCACTCCGGTGCCCTCCTCAGCGCTGTCAGTCCGCTCCGGCTCGCTGCCCGTCTCCATGTACCACTGACCAGCCCGGTTTATGCGGAGGATGGGCTCTTTGCTCACCCTGCTGCTGGTGGTCCCAGGCCCCTCAAGCCCACTGTGCTCCACTGTCGGCGGTGGGCTGGACGGCTCCTCTGCTGGGCTGACCACCTCAAACACCTCTGCGCCTCCTCTGGGACCAAGAAGCCTCAGACCGCTGTGATGAGCCCCTCCTCGAACCGCAGCCTCCATTGTCCTGCTGCTCCGGGACCCCCGCATCACCACTTCCTCCTCCCTGGAGGCCTCGTCCACGTCAGCCAAGCTGATCTTCAGGTGGATGCCCTCCAGGATCTGGGTGCAGCGGTCGATAATGTGCTGCATCTGCAGGAAGCTGGCAGCAGTCAGGTAGCTGATGATGTCCGCCAGCTGCAGGCAGAGGCGGCCCGTGTAGCAGAAGGTCAACAGCTGCTCGAATACGGACGGGTTGCGGATAACAGTCAGCGACACTGTGCTCATCTGGCTCAGAGACATGTGGTCGCGGAAGTACGGCGAGCTGGCGGCAAGGACCACCTTGTGTGCACGGAAACTCTGGCCCTGAACGTTGACCACGATGTCACAGAGGCGTCCCTGAACGCGCAGCTGGTTCAGGTGTGACAGGACTGAGTTACTGAAGTCAGGGATGTCCAGCTGAATGCTGCCAGTGCGCTCCATGCTGCAGCCAACAGGAGGACCATAAAAAGATCAACTGCATGATCAAAAGTCAAACTTTCAGAATCTTTAGTAATTCATAACTTTATTCATATATTTATTAGCGATTAAAGAATTATAACATTTACTAACTCTACAAAAACAACCTATAAGGCACTATTTAACTGCCATCGAAGTCAGAATAAATAATTATTTAGGTTAAAAATATAGAGTTGATAAATACATACATTTCTAGTAACAATAGTTACATATTAAAAGCATAATTTCATGAATATTATTTGTTTAATTTGGGGGAATGAGTCTTAATTAAGGCGAGAACCGAAAGGTTGCTGCCGCGGGTTGACGGCAGTTACCTTTGAGGGTCGGTTCCTGTGGATCAGTAACGTGGTTCTGGAAATTGGATAAAGTGCATGGTGCAATAAAGGACTGAAGATTCTGATTTTCTCTCAAGGGAAAGGGGCCAATGAGGTACATTTTTGTTTAATTTACTGTTTACTTTGTTTGACCGTTATGATGTAACGTGAAGAATTTCTGTTGAGTCATATATTGTATGGTCGCATTTTTCCTTTGATGTCTTTACTGGGAAATAATTACTTTTATTTGCTTTTGTCTGTATATTTTGACAGTTCTCATGGCACACTATCATGATTCTTGTATGATTAAAGCCAGTAAATAAAAGAACGACTTGGTTTCTTGATTTCGACTTGAGAGGGAACTACACACTAAATTGATGGATCTAAACTTTTTAACTCTGTACTTATGAACGAGTCAAGGTGAAGCCTAGTAACTCGATAACAAAGCACTAACTACCAAGCAGGGTGGTGGCAGCATCATGCTTTGGAGCTTATGCTCAGCCAGTGTACAGAGGCCCTGGGGTTTAATGGCCATCTGTACCATATCACTAGGTGGATGGATCTTCAACTGTATAGTGGAAATTTAACCAATATATTTAAATGGGTTTAGCTTTATGTGAAACAGAATCCTAAACAAAAGTAGAGATGTGAAGCAAACTGTTTTAAACAGTTTCTCTGGTTGTATATGTCACAACATTTAAAATCAACGTGTTTTTTTATATAGTTTTATTATTATTATTTTTTTTTTTAATCACACATAAATAAAATACTGAACTTCAGGCTAAGTCGATGGAAACTTCTAGACTTAAGTGTATCTATATTTTATTTAGACAGGATCCATTTGATACCAGCTTGTTTCCAACATGACACCGGAGCAGGACAGGTCTACCTGCTGGACCCAGGTGAGCAGGGAGGGGGTCTCACCTGAATGTCGGGGTCTGGTTACGGGATGCGGGGGGCAGACGGCTCTTCAGTCCAGCGGGGCTCCCTGCATTGCTGACTGGACGGTGGATAAGAGGAACGCTCTTCGGCTGGGTTCGGCTGGGAACGTCCCGGCCCGGCGGGCTGCAGCTCCACCCGCCTGATCCTCCAGGCTGGTCGCGTCGTGTTCAGGGCCGGGTATCGGCAGCTGAGCTCGGCCTCCGCTCCAACAGCAGCCGCTTCGCCGACATTCCTCTGGAGGTCCGGTTTGGTTCAGTGTCGGTTATGTAAAGGGCTGCAGCGGCGGCTTTTCATCTTCCTTTTTCAGCAGTGAAGAGCCGAGGCAGCAGGAAGGAAGGAGAGGAGGAAGAAAATTCGCAATGAATTATGGGAAATGCTGTTCTTTAGCAGTATCTGCACCGAATTATTCTAGTTTTCAAAGACTACATTTCCCAGCGTGCCTCTGACAGCGGAAGGGTCACGATGGCACTTTAAGAGTTTGGCAGAGTATTTTGCTTAGTGCTAATGTTAGAATATCCATTAGAACAGAAGTTCTGATTACACAAAAACTTTAATCATTATTTTTTGTTTATCACGTGACTGTTCTATGCAAGTATGCAGGGTCTGATTTTAGTCTGATTCCTTGGAACTTTCACAGAGAAGTTTGAGAAAAACAGAAAAGTTGAAATGACATGTCACTTCTGCACCATGCATACTATGGCTGAGCTGCTACAGTAGCAGGGCTGTCAACTCTCACCCATTGGGAGTGACACTTACCCATCTCAGTGTTTTCACAGACTCTCACTCTCCATATTCCTAATTTCTCACACAAAAAAAAATGACAGATATTAAAATTCACCTAAGTCTAGTTGAATAATCTCCTGTTGGAATTTAGCAGTAAATAAACCAACACAAATATTTTAATTCTTAAAGCTTCCAGGTTTGCTTCTCAAACCCATAGGAGGTCCACAAAAAGAAAGAGAACTATTGCATTTTATTTTTTAAAAGATCAAAAAGACCATCCACATACAGAGAGGATACCTCAAGTTATCCTGGCTTCACAGAGGAGAAACCATAGGGATGTTCTTATTTTAGTATTACGTATCATATTCATTTATTTTCATTTTGGTCTATTGAATATATTAAAAAACTTAATATCAATTACATCTTCCAAACTGAAACATCCAGAGAAGTGCCATCTCCTGTCATGGAGAGTTTTTTTTAAATAAAATCTACAGCCTCCTAGAGGGTCTGATTGTTTAGCAGTTTTGTCAATTGTAAGAAAAACTAATAACATAATGAAGGAAGCTTTTTATTCCTTAGCCTATTACCATATATTCATACACAGTGCAATTTGCATGGGATTCTATGGAACTGGTTGCTGTATCAGTGCCAGGAATCTAGTTATAGCTTATTAGTTCCCCATTGTTTAATTTACTTGAACTGCAGAGAATAATTAGTGAACAAATTTGTGAAATTCTTAGTTTAAAGTATATATTAGATGCAGGTATTTTAGTAGGTCCCATTCTGCTTTACTTCAATTATCTAAAAATCACCAGAATATATAAAATGATTTATATTTTGAGAAAAATGTTCCACATAACTACAGAGCACTTATTGTTACTCAGTAACATTTACTGTTTTATTAAAATTCCACATTCTGACACTTTGTTTCAGTTAAATCCTCTGAAAATCTCCAACCTATAGCTGCACATCTCATCATCTAACCCTGACAGGGTTTCCTGTCCAAACTATTTCAAAATCTCACCCCAAGGTTTTGTGAAAAGTTGGCAGCCCTGTAGTAGTTAGAGCACTTATTATAAAATGTATAATAAATAATTTAAAGAGTATTAAAACAGAGAAGATGTAGACATAAATGAATTTTCATAATTTTCTTAAAACAGTATTATTAATGAGATAACATATTTCTAATTATTTAAAGCCAATTGGAGCCTGAAGTCTGTTTAAATAATTTCAGGCACATATTAACAGCCAATGTCTATAATACCGTTTGTAATATGTCTTTATTACTTTTTTTTTTCTTTAGCAAAAAGGGTGGTTTGTTGCTACCTTGGTCCCCAGATAAAATGTCAGAAAGTCTGCAGCATGGTGTTAAACACATCATCCTCAAAGGCTGTGTTGCCTTTGGACCTTTTTAGCACATCTCAGTTTAATTTTAAACCAATATGCTTTGTTGTTTCTCACAGCCATGAGATAAAAATGGCCAACCAATAACCACAGCAGAAGCAGACTCTTTTTATCTTTCTTTCTCTGAGTTTTGTAGGACAGTCTGGAACCAGGAGAGTCCAGATAATACAGCAAGCTACACTCTCAGCCACACTTAGGACCATTGGAACCCACTGTTGCCAACTCTTCAACAAGAAAAGTCTCTATTGGCTATCCTTAAATCAGCTAGAAGTCACTAGATGACATAATCAGCTAATTTGCATACAATGATTTAAAATTAATTAATGTTTAAAACTATAAATGAACTCTGTAAAATAATTTCAAGCATTTATTACTTCTTAAAATTCGTTAAGCATAGAAACAGAGTTGCTAATTTTGCAAAAGTGCTCCTACTTTAACATTTTAAAGCTGGTATATTGACCAAAAACTGAATAGAAAAATGTAGCATTCCATCATTCACAACAATATACTACAAATGCAGAGTACTAATACAGAATGGTTGCTCTTTTATAAGTTAGTTTTTAGGTTTTCTAGGAGAGCATTTCTCTGCATAACAATAAATTCATTTCAAACAGCAATAATGTATAGATATTCATATAGCGTTATCAGCAAGTACAGAAGTTAAAATCTTCTCTGTTTTTAGTGATTTATTTAGAAAATATAGATGTTGTGAACATTAATTTTCCTGTTAGTTTATTTTGATCAGTATAGGTCTACCATAAGATGTTTTTGGCACCTATCAGTTTTCAGCCACCCCTCAGTGCACATTGGCCCCTATGACGGACCCTATGAACAATTTCTGGAACCACCGCTGGTCAGGTACCATGCTGATGTGGTCACCTCTGGGAATCCCTTAGCCACCCCAGTAACAATTTCTTAGGACCTCCACTGGTTGGAACCCCATAATTTTCCTCAGAGCAAAGATATATTACTAATACCAAGTCTGGCAGCAACAGTGAAAGTATTTTTTTTTAGGTGAACAATAAGTTAATTGTTTTTTTTTAATAGGTTTTTACTGTGTTTCAAAAGCAAAACTTAAAAACTAAGCTTATAAATTAGCAAGCAGCTAAAACATGCAAGTTTTCTTGAATCAGACACTCCAATGTCTGAAGTTTCATTAAGTTATAAGAAACATAATCAATACATGTTTAAACCTTAATAAGTTATACAAGAGGATTACATTAATGCGTTTTCTGATCCTCTCTTTACGCCTTAATATTGAAATATAAACAAATGGTAGATACTTTTTTACGAATTCCCTCATGTCAAACAAAAACCGATCATTCTTTATTTTTTCCATTGTCTTTTAAGAATTCATAAAACCTTCTGTTATTTCCTTTAGAATTATCACATGACGGTAATAAATTATTGTTTAAATGGTAATGATATCAGATTAATTATTAAGATAAATTATTAAGATTTTTTAAAGTGATGGTTTATGAACCTCTTCGATTTGTATTTTTAATTGGTTTAAACACATATGAAATTTTCTACATTGTTTTTTTTAAGCCAATTTAACCTCATTCCAAGTTATTTAAGCTTAAGTCTTGCTTTTATAGATAAAAACCTCTCTGAACTGTGATATCATTGTCTAATTTTATTGGTAATGGTCAATAAACGTTTTTTCAACTTTTCTTTTACCAGGAAAATATTCTATTAAGATCTCATTTATAATTATGTCCGTGCCGAGAAGTAAAAAAGAAAAGCAAAACAAAGAACAGTCTTTCAAAAATATGTCTTTAAATTCCACATCTTAAAAACAAACAGGCTTCTATATTTTAAAGTTATTCATGAGCTTTTTATCTTGACAGGTGTGGCATTTTTTTAATTAAGAAGTGCCTTGGTCTACAGCAAAGTTATTTTTAATGCAGACCAGCAGTAAACTGAGCACTTTGGGTTCAAAACTAATGGCTTCTGAGACTTTTTTTCTCATTCTTTTCCTATTCTTCTGTCACAGTGAATGTAAACAGAAGCATGTGTTCCCTTATAAAACAAGGGCACCAGTATGCAGTCATGTGAATTAAATGACGCATCAAATTGGAAAATTTAGCTTTAAGGACTTTTTATAGGTCATTTGATGAATCGCCTCAGCCCTAATTTTATGGCATATTTAAAGCAACTTCAAGTGCAATTTGAAGGAAGAAAGCCTGAAAACAAACACTGCTGCTGTTTCCTTTAGGGGGGGAAAAAAATCATCATCCATGGAACCCAGTGACAATCTGTTTAACGCTGTGCCCAAAGGAAGCTATTTATAAAGATAGTGGCCAAAGACTGTGCCTTGAGGTACACTATAGCTGAGTAGAAACACTCAGCCTCAATAAAGAGAACATTTCTTGCTACTGGGCACGACCAGAACCAATAAAGGAACCAACTGTTACACAAACGGTTAGCGACACCCTTCGATTCTCAATGTGAAAAGCAGCTTGATCTCTCAGCAAACATGCTGTATAAAAGGGTGTCTCTGCTCCTCTTACTCTAAAAGTTTTCTCTAATCTGCTCATTAACGCTGTTTAGCATCAGATGTTTCCTGTTGTTGCAACCAGCCTGGCTGGATCCTGAGTTTCCACTTATCCTTGTTTTGGATTTTTTTTTCTGCCCTGCTTCTTTTTTATTTCCTAGTTTTTTTATTATAAATAATTATAATTGCACGAATCTTCGCTGGACTTTGAGAGGCTTGATTCTGTTTTTGCAAGGGAAAAAAAGCAAAAATGTAATTGACTGTAACTCAGAATGACTGCTTTCATGAGCTTTACTGTAAATCACAACAGATTTAATAGAGATAATAGCAGAGAAGTCAATACACCTTTAGATTTTATTTAATCCTATGTTTAAAAAAGGTTTCTTCCTCAACTCTCTCCATGGGATCAGATCACTTTTGTTTTGTTCAGACTCTCAGTGCAGGTCGTTTGGATGTTCAGGCTGCTGTTGGTCATCTGAACGGTGATGGTGGTTCCATCGGCAGCGGACGACCTCCATGTCCGCTCTCTGAATGCTTCCAGCTGATCGTCACTCATCGAGACCAAACAATCGACAGATGAAGTACCGGTAACTAAGCTGGTATCTAAAGACATCCAAACAGAAATTTTAAAGGAATCTGAAAGCAAAGAAACTTGGGAGGTGAAGGGATGTTGTCTCAGTCAAATCAATAAACAAAAATTAACATTTATTATTCATCAATAAACA